ATGCTTTACTCAAAGGAATGGCTGGCAGTGACAGTGGCCATGGTGTCAGCTGGCCTTCTAAGAATCCCCCCAAACCCCAGTGCACAGACACCTTGCTTTGCCTGTAAAAGCTCTGAGGGCCCATCACAGAGGGATACATGAAATACATGAATAACGGCCTTTGCGATTTCTCTCTAGTCCGTGTGAGCTCCTTACGGGCAAAAGTGTGCCTTGTGCCCTACGGCCCATGCGAAAAACTAAGCGTACCTCTTGCATGAAGGAAAGAACCGGAACCGTGACTGCCTTGCAAGCTTTTGGTGAAGTTGGTTAGGCAACACATGACGTGGAGCAGCCGTCCCCTCGTCTCACAGGGAGGGGACGGAGGAAGGCACGCGCATGAACCTGGAGAGGTGAGGTCACAGCCAAGAAGCCTGGGGACGCACCAGGACACCACACTGATGGGGCGGGGTTAATTGGGGTGCTTAGCATCAGGGCCCCCCCCCCCGAGATGCATTTGGTCGGCACTGTGAGTGTCTACAAAGCAGAGGCTTTCCGATTCTCCCAGCTCCCCACCGAGGCCCACCCCCCGTGCCACGCCCACAGTTGGTGCCACGCCCACAGTTGGTGCCACGCCCACAGTTGGTGCTGGATAGACAGATGTTGGTGAATAAATGGTAACAAGAAATTACGACATCCTCTCCTCGCCCAGTGGAAATATCCCAGGGCCCACAGGCAAGGAGTGTATTTGAAGGCAAGTAGGTTAGTGAGTTTGGGACGTCCACTGTTAGGAAGCGTCTGCCAGCCTGACACCGTCCTTTGAGCCTTGCTAATCCACAGAGTCACGAAAGAAACAAGCTGTGCCGGGTCACGGTAAGAACACACCGGCTAAGCAGGAACACGCCCTCCTTTCCCGGGGTGGGTTGAAGGGTGGCCCCGGAAAGCCGGAAAGCCTCCTAGAACCCGGCAATGTGACCTTATTTGGAAAAAGTCTCTTCGTAGATATAATTAAGGTAAGGATCTCAAGATAAAATCCACCTAGATTTAGGGATGAGCCCTAAAGCCAATTGCAGGTGTCCTTAGAAGAAAAAAGGCAGAAGAATATTTGAGACACACATCCACGGAGAAGGCAAATACTGGAGAGATGTGGCCACAAGCCCAGGAATGCCTGGAGCCACGAGAATTTGGAAGGACAGAGAAGAATTCTCCTCCACAACCTTCAGTGGGAGTGTTGGTTCTCCTAATACTTTCATTTCAGGCCTTTGACTTTCGGGATGGTGCTAGAATAAACTCCTGTTGTTTGAAGCCACTGAGCTTTTGGTACTTTGCTAAGGCAGCCCCAGAAAATACACTGCCCAACCACAGACACACCGAAACAAAGAGCAGAATTCAGTCTTGGTAAATTTATGTAGCATCTTGCAATCGGAAAGCGGAGAACCATACAGGTCTCATTTCGGCAAACACACAAGCTTTGTGTTTTACAGTTTTTTGTTTGTTTGTTTTTATTTTGGTTCCTATATGGGGGGGGGGTGGGGAGTGCACTATAATCTTTTCAGCATTTCAGGGCCTTTAAAGATCTTAAGCTGGGGTGCCTGGGTGGATCAGCCGGTTAAGCATCCAAATTCGGCTCAGGTCACGATCTCGCGGTTCATGGGTTCAAGCCCCGCGTTGGGCTCTGTGCCGACAGCTCAGAGCCTGGAGCCTGCTTCGGATTCTGTGTCTCCCTCTGTCTCTGCCCCTTCCCTGCTCTCACTCTCTCTGTGTCTCCTGTTCTCCCTCTCACTCCTTTCCCTCCTTCTCTTCTCACTTTCTTGTCTCTATCTTGTCCCTGGAAATGGGGATAGAGACAGGAAAGTGAGAACAGAAGGAGGGAAAGGAGTGAGAGGGAGAACAGGAGAGCAGAGAGAAGGGGAAGACAGCCACTATCTGCTCTGGCTGGCACGCCTGGGGGTCTGGCCGGTTAAAGAAGACATCAGACGGGCGCCTGGGTGGTCCAGTCGGTTAAGCGGCCGACTTCAGCCAGCTCACGATCTCGCGGTCCGTGAGTTCGAGCCCCGCGTCAGGCTCTGGGCTGATGGCTCGGAGCCTGGAGCCTGTTTCCGATTCTGTGTCTCCCTCTGTCTCTGCCCCTCCCCCGTTCAAGCTCTGTCTCTCTCTGTCCCCCCAAAAAATAAATAAACGTTAAAAAAAATTTTTTTTTTTAAAAAAGAAGACATCAGAGAAGATGGGCTGGGATGTTCTCTC